TTGACCAGGATGGTCTCGATCTCTTGACCTCGTGATCCACCCGCCTCGGCCTCCCAAAGTGCTGGGATTACAGGCTTGAGCCACCGCGCCCGGCCCAATTTTTGTATTTTTTTTGTAAATATGGGGATTCGCCATGTTGCCCAGGCTGGTCTCAAACTCCTTAGCTCAAGCCATCTGCCCGCTTTGGCCCCTCCAAAGTATTGGGATTATACGCGTGAGCCACTGTGCCTAGCCTATTGTTTTTATTAGCAGGAATAACGGCATTTCCCAGAACTCAAAAATGCTGGGAGAGATGAGAAAAACACTGTAGAACCCTAGGATGTTCTAATTACACATCCAGCAAACATTTATTGAGCATTTACTATGTGCCAGGCACTATCCAGAGGGCTGCAGATACAGTGGAACGAGGCAGACATGGTCCCTGACCTCATTAAGTTGACTTTCCAGTAGGATGTTATAAGCTGATCAGTACTTATGAATCATGTATTTAGTCTAGCTGTTCTTAACATGGCTGCATGACAGATTCTCCCTAGTAGTTAAAAAAGACAGACTTTCGGATTCCACGTTCCTTTCTCCTCCACGGCAGATTCAGCAGTGAGTTTAGGTGGGATCCAGGAATCTGCATTTTAATAAACATTCCGAGTGGTTAGGAGCTGCAACCAGGTTTCCTCGACCTAGACTATGCTCCAATTACCACAGGAAACGGCTCCCAGCCGCTCCCATGGGGACAAGGCGCCAGAGGCCTTACCGTGGCGATAGGGGTTATACAGCGCCATAGCCGCGGAACCGGCGGCCAGCAGCACTTTCTGCAGCGGGGAGGTGGGGATGTGATGTGGATACAGCAGGCCGACGCCGTCGCTCCTGGCTCGGAACAGCATTTCTGCGGGGCAAGAAAAAGGCCGAGGTCAGAGGAGCTGGGCGCTTCCAGGCTCCTTCCGCCTGCGCCTGGAACCCGGCGCCACTTGCCTGCCGCAGGCCTCGGGCGGCTGGGGAGCCAACGGAACGGGCGCAGGACAGCGCGCAGCACAATCGCCATGGCAGCGGGCGTCCGCGGAGGACGGGCGGACACGGAGAACGCCAGGAGCCTCTCAGACGACGGAGCGTCGGAGGGGTCAAAAACCACTGAAAAACCGGTTCTGATGGCGTTGCCTACGGCCCTTTGAGAAGAAACACCGCTGCACGGGCAGAAGGCACGTAGGTCAAGTAGGCGAAGGAAGCCCACGCGAATTGTCTACCTCCTACAACCACCGATCCAAGACTCTCGCCATTTCACTTCGCCACAGAAAGCGTCTCCAAAGGAAACGCAACCACACTCACTCCGGCTCAGCGCCGGACCTTATTTCCTTCTCCACATCCGGTTTTCCCCGAAGACTATTAGGGTGAGAACTTCTTCCGGCTGTGGAACATGGCGGCGCCTATGGTAAAGTCGCTATTTGGGGGCGGGGCCTTGCGGCACTTCCGTCCAGGTCCAGAGGGTGTTGCGGTCTTCAAGTATGCGGTCCGCAAGCTTGTCGCGGCTGCAGGGGCTTTTCGCGGTCTATAAGCCCCCGGGGCTAAAGTGGAAGCACCTGCGGGATACTGTGGAACTGCAGCTTCTGAAGGGTGAGTGCCTCGAACGAGACCCAGGTTCCCGCTTCCATTCTCTTGGAAGTCCATCTCCGCCTCTGGCACTTCCCCCAAAACAAAATTACGTGATCTGTTCGCCTGGACCGAGCGCTTTCCTAAACGCCTGTTCTCTGTGCTTCCTTACTCCTCACTTTCCTCTGTTTTCCGAGGGGGAAACTGACTCAGTATTGTTCGTTGTAACACGGTTACCACGTTGTAGAGTCAATTTGAATCCGCCTGTTTCTTGACTACTGCTCTTCTGCCCTCTGCATCATGGGCTTCTCTGTCTTCTACATCATACTTCCCTGTTGTCCTCTCCCTTAGGTGTTTGGATAGAACAAGATATTCCTGGCTGGGCGTCGTGGTGCACGACTGTAATCCCAGCTACTCTGGAGGCTGAGGCAGGAGGATCGCTTGAGCCCAAGAATTTGACATTACAATGAGCTATGATGGCGCCACTGCACTCCAGCCTGGGCGACAGAGCGAGACCCCGTCTCTTAAAAAAATATTTTATGTGTATATATATTTGTATGTCTGTGTATCTATATTATCAATGTGTGTTTGTGTTCAGGTCTCAATGCGGGGAAGCCTCCTGCCCCTGAACAGCGTGTTCGCTTCTTGCTGGGCGCGGTGGAAGGCAGTGAAGAGAAGGAGCTGACCCTCACAGCTACCAGTGTACCCTCTCTCACCAAGCATCCACTGGGTAAGGCAGATTTAAGATCCTGGGTGTCACTTCCCAGTAAATCCCTGAGCAGAGTCAGTGTCGAAGTGCTCAGACTCCTGTGCCAGGCCCATGAAAGTCCACCGAAGAGTGAGGTATTGGACCAGGAATTGTCAGACTTTCTTGGAAAGGGCCAGATACTGAATGTTTTAAACTTTGCAGGCCATATGGCTTCTGTTGCAACTGCTCAACTCTGCCATTGTAGAGTATTTGTAGTACAAAACAGCTGTAGACAGTATCTAAAGGAATAAGCTTAGCTGTATTCCAGTAAAACTTTAATTATGAACATTAATATTTAGTTTCAGGTAATTTTCATGTGTCGCTGAGTACAGTTGCCCCTGAATCCATGAGTTCCACATCCCATGATCCAGCTTCAGATGAACAATATTTGTGGGGGTGGTGGGGGAAGTCCACAAAGTTCCAAAAAGCAAAACTTAAATTTGCTGTGTACCTAGTACTGTGTTAAATCAACTCAAAATGATGTATAGGCATTATATTAGGTATTATAAGTAACCTGGAGATGAATTAATGTATATGGGAGGGCCAGGCCAGGTGGCTCATGCCTGTAATCTCAGTGCTTTAGGAAGCCAAGGCAGTGGATTACTTGAGCCTAGGAGTTTTAAGATTAACCTGGGCAACATGGCAAAATGCTGCCTCTATAAAAGAATACAAAAATTAGCCAGGTGGGGTGGCATGTGCCTATAGTTCCAGCTACTCGAGAGGTTGAGGTGGGAGGATCAACTGAGCCAGGAAGTTGAGGTTGCAGTGAGCTGAGATTGTGCCCCTGCACTCCAGCCTGGATGACAGAGCGAGACTCTGTCTCCAGAAAAAAAAGTGGTCAGATACGGTGGCTCACGCCTGTAATCTCAGCACTTTGGAAGACTGAGGTGAGTGGATCACTTGAGGTCAGGGGTTTGAGACCAGCCTGGCCAACATGGTGAAACCTTGTCTCTACTAAAAATACAAAAAATTGTCTGGGCGTGGTGGTGGGCGCCTGTCATCCCAGCTACTTGGGAGGCTGAGGCAGGAGAGAATCGCTTGAACCCAGGAGATGGAGGTTGCAGTGAGCCGAGATCGTGGCATTGCACTCTAGCCTGGGAGACAGAGCACGACTCTGTCTCAGCAAGACTCTGTCAAAAAAAAAAAAAAACAGAAAAATGGAAAAATCAGCCAGGTGAGGTGGCTCACGCCTGTAATCCCAAGAATCTTTGAGTGTCAAGTTCCCCATCAGTAAAATGGGGGTAAAAATACTCTCTAAAAACTGGGCGCAATGGCTTATGCCTGTTATTCCAGCACTTTGGGAGGCCAAGGTGGGTAGATCACCTGAGGTCGGGAGTTCAAGACCAGCCTGACCGACATGGAGAAACTCTGTCCCTACTAAAAATGCAAAAAATTAGCTGGGTATGGTGGCGCATACCTGTAATCCCAGCTACTCAGGAGCTGAGAATTGCTTGAACCCGGGAAGCAGAGGTTGCAGTGAGCCGAGATTGTGCCACTGTACTCCAGCCTGGGCAACAAAAGTGAAACTCCATCTCTTTTTTTTTTTTTTTTTTTTTTTTTAAGACGGAGTTTCAACGTATTGGTCAGGCTGGTCTCGAAGTCCTGACCTCAGGTGATCTGCCCGCCTCAGCCTCCCAAAGTGCTGGGATTACAGGCGTGAGCTACTGTGCTGGCTGTGAAACTCCATCTCAAAAAAAATAAACAACAACAAAAGAGGCCGGGTGTGGTGGTTCATGCCTGTAATCCCAGTATTTTGGGAAACTGAGGCTGAGGCAGGTGGATCATGAGGTCAAGAGATAGAGACCATCCTGGCCAACATGGTGAAACCCCATCTCTACTAAAATACAAAAAATTAACCGGGAGTGGTGGTACACACCTGTAGTCCCAGCTATTCAGGAGGCCGAGGCAGGGGAATTGCTTGAAACAGGGAGTTGGGCCGGGCGCGGTGGCTCATGCCTGTAACCCCAGCACTTTGGGAGGCCGAGGCGGGTGGATCACGAGGTCAAGAGATCGAGACCATCCTGGTCAACACGGTGAAACCCCGTCTCTACTAAAACTACAAAAAATTAGCTGGGCATGGTGGCGCGTGCCTGTAATCCCAGCTACTCAGGAGGCTGAGGAAGGAGAATCACTTGAAACAGGGAGTTGGAGGTTGCAGTGAGTTGAGACTCCAGCCTGGGCAACAGAGCAAGACTCCATCTCAAAAAAAAAGAAAAGAAAAATGGAAAAACCATTCTTAACTCACAGATCACAAAAAACAAAAACAAGAAAACAGTCTTCAGGATTTGGCTTGTGGACTGTAGTCTGCTGACCGTTTTTCTATTCTGGGACTCCAGGTGAAAAATGAGACTCTAGGTTGAAGTCCTAGTGGGGGTTTTGGGTTTCTGGGAAAGAATGATTTTTTTTTTTTTTTTTTTTTTTTTTAAATAGTCTTGCTCTGTTGCCAAGGCTGGAGTACAGTGGTGTGATCTTGGCTCACTGCAATCTCCGCCTCCCCAGTTCAAGTGATTCTCCTGCCTCAGCCTCCTGAGTACTGGGATTACAGGCGTGCGCCACCACTGTGCCTGGCTGAAAGAATGATTTTTTTTTTTAGTGAAGAAAGTTGCCCAACAATGGAACTGGTTCTGGTAATGTGCCCCCATTGCTAGATGTGATTAAGGCAATGTCAGGGAATCTAGAGGTTTGACCAGAAACCTCTAAAATCCCTTGGACTTGTGATATTCAATGACTTTACTATGAGGTAATGAGAAGTATAATGTATCAAATTGCCACTCTTTTTTTTTTTTTTTTTTTTGTTGGAGATGGAGTCTTGCTCTGTTGCCCAGCCTAGAGTGCAGTAGTGTCATCTCGGCTCACTGCAACCTCTGCCTCCCAGGTTCAAACGATTCTTCTGCCTCAGCCTCCTGCATAGCTGGGATTATAGGTGCCCACCACCATGCCCGGCTAATGTTTGTATTTTTAGTAGAGACAGGGTTTCACCATCTTGGCCAAGCTAATCTCGAACTCCTGACCTCGTGATCCACCTGCCTCAACCCCCCAGAGTGCTGGGATTACAAGCATGAGCCACCGTGCCCGGCTGAGTTGCCACTCTTTATTAGGCATTGTGTTAAGCCTCCCCCAAGTACAATCCTCCTTGACATCACCACAGTCCTGTGAGATCTGTCCTATTCCATTTCACAAGGGAGAAAACTGAGGCTCAGTGTTGACATTTATAACATGGCCTGGATTCGGTAGGCCCTTAACTACCCTGGACCCTTCCCCTGGATTCCTCTTGAACTATAGAAGCGTAAACACTTCTGGCTCATTCCATCATTTATTCTTCCAGTAGTTCTTTCCTGAGGAGCCAGTGAGTTAACACACCCAGGTTCTGCCTTAAGGAGCTCACAGCCTCTATTTTCTTTTTTACTTTTTGTAGAGACAGAGTTTCACTCTGACGCCCAGGCTGGAGTGCAGTGGTGCGATTTAGGCCCACTGCAACTTCCACCTCCCAGGTTCAAGCAGTTCTCCTGCCTCAGCCTCCTGAGTGGCTTGGGACTACAGCCACATATTGTCACGCCTTGCTAATTTCTTCTGTATTTTACTAGAGATGGGGTTTCGCCATGTTGCCCAGGGTGGTCTCAAACTCCTGAGCTCAGGCAGTCTGCCTGCTTTGGCCTCCCAAAGTGCTAGGATTACAGGCTTGAGGCCACTGCACCCGGCCACAGCCGCTATTTTCTTCTGGGGACTCTCCTTCAGCAGAGCTAAGCAGGGAACCACGCACTCATGACCTGCGGTGTTATGCCAGTCTTCTTAGCGCCTCTCACTGGGAGACTAATGATAGGCAGACTAAGAGATATCTTAGGCTGCCCTTTGGATCCCAAGAAACTGAGGATACAGTTGAGGGTCCCAGATTCCATGATGGGGAAGCCTATGAGTCTAGTCAGATGCTAGTTTGGGCTCCGTGAGGCTCCATTCTGAGAACGAGGTCATCATGCAGACCAAAGCCATCCTGGGGTTGGATTAGTTGAAAAAATGGACCTTGTTTGTTTCTTTCCAGTCTGTGGACCAGCATTCACCCATTTCAAGGTTGGCGTGGGACATCGGCTGGATGCCCAGGCTTCTGGGGTGCTTGGTAGGTGATGGGAGAAGGTTGGGGATACAGTGATAAGGTTTGAAGAAAGATCCCGGAGCTACCAGGAGCCCCAGCCCACTTCTTACCTGGCACCCATATCCTACCACTGTTCTCCCCTGATTCCTCCCCCAGGGCTGATCAGCTGGGGAGTGGTTAGGTGGGATGGAGGTAATCACAGTCACCCACCTTTATTCAGTGATTCCCACCCATGACGTAGTTCAAGGGCCTTTATGCACATTTATTTGCCACAACAACATTATTAGGTAGATACTGTATGATTTTATGGAAGAAGAAAGTAAGGCTCCCAGACTTAGGTGACTTGTCCTGGGTCACATGGCTAGTGAATGCCCCTGGTCTGGAGAGGGAGATCCATCATCGCATCATGGGGCAGCTAGGCTTGTGACTCTGGCCCCAGTGGCCAGGGCCTGCGTGTTGCTGGGACTGGACACACAAAGCCCTAGTCATGAGCTGTCTGTGTCCCTAGGGTCAGGTGGTGCCCACATCCTCCACCCATGACAGTCACAGTCTCCTTGTCTTGCTTCCTGGGGCACAGGCAGGCAGACATGATCTGATGCCCCCTCTCCCTGTTCTGTCTCCCCACCGGTGAATCTTCTCCTTCAGCCAGAGGGAGAAACAGACCGGGAGAAAGGCAGGAAGTGGCCACAGCGGCCACCATTTATTGGGTCCTTCCTCTGTGCTGACTGCACAGCACCCATAGGAATCAGACAGTATATATATATTTTTTCGAGATGGAGTCTTGCTCTGTTGCCCAGACTGGAGTGCAGTGGTGCCATCTCAGCTCACTGCAACCTCTGTCTCCCAGGTTCAAGCAGTTCTCCCAGCCTCAGTCTCCTGAGTAGCTGGGATTACAGGCATGTGCTCAGCTGACTAATTTTTTTTTTTTTTTTTTGAGATAGAGTCTTACTGTTGTTGCCAGGCTGGAGTGCAGTGGCACAATCTCAGCTCACTGCAGCCTCCAGCTCCCGCTTCAAGCTATTCTCCTGTCTCAGCCTCCCAAGTAGCTGGGATTACAGGTGTGCGCCACCACACCTGGCTAATTTTGTATTTTTAGTAGAGATGGGGTTTCACCATGTTGGCCAGGCTGGTCTTGAACTCCTGACCTCAGGTGATCCGCCTGCCTTGGCCTCCTAAAGTGCTGGGATTACAGGCATGAAGCACTGCACCCAGTTTTCAGACAGTGTTTGTACCCTATTTTACTGATGGGGAACTTGATGCTCAAAGAGACTAAAGGTTATCCTGAGAGCCACCCCTGATTTGAGTGCAGGTTTGTGTGACTGGGCTAGGAATCTCCTCCTCTCAGGTGTCAGAATCCCCTGGGGAACTTGCCAAGGTAAGCCCAGCAATCTGCATGTGACATATACCCAGAGGGGCGCCCTCGCTCCCTGTAGAAGATCTTCTTGGCTTCTTGCCGCCTTTGGCAGCATCAGAAAAGGGAGTAGTATTCTAATGGCGGGGGTAGGGGTGGGGATTCCTAGGAAAACAGGAAGGGGGTCTCAGGTGTGAGATGTGGCTGACTGCTTTTCAGTGCTCGGCGTGGGACGTGGATGCAGGCTCCTCACTGATATGTACAATGCTCATCTCACCAAGGTACGAAGGTCTGGGGACAGTCCGCTTCTCCCTTGGTCTTTTCCTGGGGGTCACCAACAGTATTCTGAAGCTTAGAGGATTCTGTGGGGGAATACCCAAGCCATCAGCAAGCATTTTTTTAAATGATTGTATGCTGGAGGGTAGGGGGGCCGTAATAATAATTACAATAATAACTATTGGCATTAATTTATGCCAGCTACTCTGTGCTGAGCACCATCCATGGACTCCCTGTAAAGTGGAATCTGTTGTTAACCCCATTTCACAGATGGGAGAACCGAGGCTCAGGGAGGAGACGTCATTTACCCAGGTCAGGTAGCTCTTAGGGCTTTAAGAGCTGGGATTTGAACCTAGGTCCGTCCAACACTACAGCTTGATCATAATGCCATTCCATATTCTGTCCCAAGACTGAGAGGTGGATGTCAGCATCCTGCCCACAGGGAGCTTACCATCCAGAGGTAGGGTCAGGGCTATGGAATCTGGTAGCACAAAGTCTGTGTGCAGGTGCCACATTACGGGGCCCATGTTTTTAGTGGTTAAGAGCACAAATTCTGGAACCAAATGGCTTCGGTTTGAACCCCAGCTTCTACCACTCTGACAGCTGTATGTCCTTGGATGGATTACCTAATATCTGTGTGCCTCAGTTTCCTCAACTAAAATGGGAATGAGGGCCAGGTGTGGTGACTCATACCTGTAATCCCAGCACTTTGGGAGGCCAAGGCAGGAGGATTGTTTGAGCCCAGGAATTTGAGACCAGTCTGGGCAACATAGCAAGACTCCATCTCTATTTAAAAAATTTTTGAGGCCGGGCACAGTGGCTTACGCCTGTAATCCCAGCACTTTGGGAGGCCGAGGCAGGCGGATCCCAAGGTCAGGAGATGGAGACCATCCTGGCCAGCATGGTGAAACCCTGTCTCTACTAAAATACTAAAAAAATTAGCTGGGCGTGGTGGCGCGCACCTGTAGTCCCAGCTACTCAGGAGGCTGAGGCAGGGGATCACTTGAACCCAGGCAGTGGAGGTTGCAGCGAGCTGAGATTGTACCACTGCACTCCAGCCTGAGTGCGACAGAGTGAGACTCTGTCCAAAAAAAAAAAAAAAAAAAGAAAACTTAAAAAGAGAATGAGGAATAGTATTTCCCCTATAGGAAGGCTATACTTTGAAATTATGTTAATGACTACATGTAAAGTGCTTAGCACCATCTCTGGCTGCCTTCTCTGTAATCATCATGGTTATCTTTTTTATTTTTTTGAGACAAGGTTTCACTCTGTTGCCCAGGCTGGAGTGCAGTGGCACAATTATGGCTCACTATAGCCTCAACTTCCCGGGCTCAGGTACCTCCCATCTCAGCCTTCTGGGTAGCTGGGACTACAGGCACATGCTACTATGCCCAGCTAAGTTTTGTATTTTTTTGTAGAGTCTGGTCTCACTGTGTTACCCAGGCTAGTTTTGAACTCCTAGGCTCAAGTGATCCACCCACCTCTGTCTCCTAAAGTGCTGGGATTGTAGGTGTGAGCCACTGCACCCAGCCATCATCATTTATCTGTGGCAGATGGGGTTAGCTGGACAGATTCAGAGGAGGGGAGATTTTGCAAGCAAGGATGAGGAAGGGCCTAGTCTGGGCCATGAAATCTTAGTTCTCTTTAGAGGTGTGGAGAGAAGCTGACAGGGCATGCTAGAAGGGGGCTCGGGTTAATAAATTGCCAAGTTAGGCTGGAGAGGAGAGACATGGAGGCATGGGGTGGTCCCAGGGTAGCTGCCAGCAGTCAGCACCTTTTGGGGCTGCCAGTGCTGGTTGTCAGGGAAACCAGCCAGCAATCTTGTAGGAAGCCTGCTGACTGGGAGCCAGGTACTATGTCCCACTGAATCTGGTCAGCAGCACTGTGAGACTGGCCCTGTTACTGCCACCAGGTGACAGGAGAGCTGGAATACAAAGAGCAAGAGCTGCTGAGGGCCCCATGACAGAGCTGGTGCCCTTCCCCACGGGACTGTGGAGCAGCTGGGCAGGGGCTGGGCACATGAGCTCCCTGAGGGAGACCTGAGGACTCCTGGGGCAGGAGCCGCTAGGGATTAGAGTGGGGTCACTGACGGATCTTCCCCTCTCTATCCTTGAAGGATTACACAGTGCGTGGCTTACTGGGCAAAGCTACGGATGACTTCTGTGAGGATGGGCGGCTGGTGGAGAAGACAACCTATGGTGAGAGCCGGAAGTGGCTGCCGCTGCCTCCCTCAGCATTTGCTTTCTCTGAGTCTGCTCACACCCAGGCCATGCAGGCCTCTTCTCAGTTCCACTCGACACAGCAGGCTTGGGCTGGGGCTTTGGCCACGGTATCTGTCCTCCAGGAGCACTCTGTTCCCATCCTTGCCTGGCTCAAATGTCACCTCTAAAGACGCTAGTTTCTCTCCATATCATCAGTCTTTTACCTTTGCTTTTTTCTTTTCTTTTTTTTTTGAGATGGAGTCTCCCTCTGTCACCAGGCTGGAGTACAGTGGTACAATCTTGGCTCACTGCAGCCTTCACCTCCTGGGTTCAAGCAATTCTGCCTCAGCCTCCAGAGTAGCTGGGATTACAGGCACCTGCCTCCACACCTGGCTAATTTTTTGTATTTTTAGTAGAGATGGGGTTTCACTCTGTTGGCCAGGCTGGTCTTGAACTCCTGACCTCAGGTAATCCACCCGCCTCAGCCTCCCAAAGTGCTGTGATTATAGGCCTGAGCCACCATGCCCGGCCGCTATGCTAAATTTTGAAAAGAACAGTGAGTTATCAACTATATAAGTAAAAAGTAAGGTAAGAGTCAGGCCAGGCACAGTGGCTCATGCCTGCAATCCCAGCACTTTGGGAGGCCAAGGAGGGCAGATTACCTGAGGTCAGAAGTTTGAGACCAGCCTGACCAACATGGGGAAACTTGTCTCTATTAAAAATACAAAAAAAATGGCTGGATACAGTGGTTCACGCCTGTAATCCCAGCACTTTGGGAGGCCAAGGCAGACAGATCACCAGGTCAAGAGATTTAGACCATCCTGGCTAACACAGTGAAACCCCGTCTCTACTAAAAATACAAAAAATTAGCCAGTCGTGGTGGAACATGCCTTTAGTCCCAGCTACTCAGGAGGCTTAGGCAGGAGAATCACTCGAACCCGGGAGGCAGAGGTTGCAGTGAACCAAGATCACACCACTGCACTTCAGCCTGGGTGACACAATGAGACTCTGTCACAAAAAATAAATAAATAAATAAAATTAAATTAAAAATAAAAATACAAAAAATGGCTGGGCATGGTGGCTCATGCCATCATGAGTAATGCTGTAATCCAGTAATCCCAGCATTTTGGGAGGCCAAGGCAGGTGGACCACCTGAGGTTGGGAGTTTGAGACCAGCCTGAACAACATAGAGAAACCCCATCTCTACTAAAAATACAAAATTAGCTGGGCATGGTGGTGCATGCCTGTAATCCCAGCTACTCGGGAGGCTGAGGCAGGAGAATCACTTGGACCTGGGAGGCGGAGGTTGCAGTCAGCTGAGATCGTGCCATTGCACTCTAACCTGGGCAAAAAGAGTAAAACTCCATCTCAAAAAAAAAAAAAAATTAGCTGGGCATGGTGATGCACACCTATAATCTTAGCTACTCGGGAGGCTACAGCAGGAGAATCGCTTGAACCCAGGAGGCGGAGGTTGCAGTGAGCTGAGATCACACCACTGCACTCCAGCCTAGGTGACAGCCAGATTCCGTCTCAAAAAGAAGAAAAAAAAAAACAAACCATAGAGCCGTGCCTGGTGGCTCATGCCTGTAATCCCAGCACTTTGGGAGGCTGAGGTGGGTAGATTACCTGAGGTCAGGAGTTCGAGACCAGCCTGACCAACATGGTGGAACCCCGTCTCTACTAAAAATACAGATTTAGATAGCTGTGGTGGTACATGCCTGTAATCCCAGCTACATGGGAGGCTGAGGCAGGAGAATCAACTTGAACTCGGGAGGCGGAGGTTGCAGTGAGCTGGGATCATGCCATTGCACTCCAGTCTGGGCAACAAGAGTGAAACTTCATCTCAAAAACAACAACAACAACAACAACTATGAACACAAAGAAGGAAACAACAGACACTTGAGGCGGGAGGGTAGGAGGAGGGAGAGAAGCAGAAAAGGTAACTATTGGGTACTGGGCTTAATATGTGTTTACCTATGTAACACACCTTCACATGGACCCCTGCACCTAAAATAAAAGGTAAAAAGAGGGAGAATGTCCTTACAATGTTGAGTCATGTTTATCTTTCTGAGAAGGTCCAGCACTTTCATGAGATTCTCAAAGGATAGCCATCCACCCCATCATGGAGATCCCTCCAAAATGTCCCGTTTCCATGTTCCAGGGATGGGGCTGGCCTTGGGGGAAGGAGTTTGCTATGACCAATCCTCAGCAGGTACCTGTGCACTAACAACATCCTGCCTTTTCCAGACCATGTGACAAGAGAGAAGCTGGACCGCATTCTGGCTGTGATCCAAGGCTCCCATCAGAAGGCCCTGGTGATGTGAGTGGGGCCCTCAGGGAGGTGCTGGGAGAGCAGGAAGTACCGTCGGCTCCATAGGCTCCCCCCACCCTGGGGCAGATTCCATGGATCTTGTTTTTAGAGCCCAGAACCAGACAGGAGCTATCTATTTCTTTCTTGGCATCAGGAAGTGGTTCTGTGTGCCAGGTCTTGGGTTGGCCAATGGGAAGGCAAGAAGAACAACAGACCCCAGCTGTCCTCCTGGGAGTATATGATCTAATGGCAAGGTAACCAGGGACCACATCATCAGAGCCCAAGGGCGAGAGCAGCCAAGGAGTTAAGAGCTTGGGCTCTATTTTCATATAAATAATAATAAAAAATTAAAAAAAAAAAAAGAGCTTGGGCTCTAGAGCCAGCTTGCCTGGGTCTCCTGACTCTACCCGGCACCTGATAATGAAGGAGGCGGCAGGAAAGGTGGCTGGAGGAGCCGCAGTGGCAGGGCACACACAGCAAGTGAAGCGCTTCCAGAGAGGTGCCTTTCATGTGGGGGAAGGGGTAGGTGGTCAGCCCAGCTCCCTACCCGACGACATCCACCCAGCTGCAGCCTGCTCCTGATCTGCAGGTACTCCAACCTCGACTTGAAGACCCAGGAGGCTTACGAGATGGCTGTGCGAGGCCTGATCCGGCCCATGACCAAGTCCCCAATGCTGATAACCGGCATCCGATGCCTCCACTTTGCACCTCCAGAATTCCTCGTAGGTAGGCTGGCCAAGGAAGTTGGAGCAGTGGCATGGGGCCCCGGGTTTGGGAGTCACTCAGGAATGCTCTTGCGGAGGCTGCTGTTCTCTGGCTCAGCTGAGGCCAGCACATAATGGCCCTGATCTCTGCGGGCCAAGGCATCAGGCGTCGACTTCCTTCCTAGCCCTGGCCTGGACTTAGCTGATGACAGAGCTCATGGAACAAAATCTCTCCTATCTCTTGCCAAGTCACCTCTGGAAGCCAGACCTCACCAAGCAAAGGTTATATTTAGTGGCTCATTTCTAGAGCTTCCCAGTGTTTCAAACTATCAGGGCTCCATCAGACACAACTCTTATCTCCCCAGTCCCACCCAGCTCAGGCCCTGCTTAACTGGGTTCCTTCGGTCTCTCCCTGCCCCCGCCCCTTTTTTCTGTTGGTAATGTTAATGCCTGCTCCTCTGCTGGAGCACTGAACTCTACCAGGCTTTTTTTTTTTGTTTTTTTTTGAGACAGAGTCTCACTCTGTGCCAGGCTGGAGTGCAGTGACGCAGTCTCAGCTCACTGCAACCTCCGCCTCCCAGGTAGCTGGGACTACAGGCGTATGCCACCAGGCCCAGCTAATTGTTATATTTTTAGTAGAGACGGGGTTTCACCATGTTGGCCAGGATGGTCTTGATCTTTTGATCCGCCTGCCTCAGCCTCCTAAAGTGCTGGGATTACAGGTGTGAGCCACCCACCGCACCCGACCATGAAGTCTCCCGTTATTAAGCACTTTCTATAAATGGTCTCTTTTACTCCTCATAACTCCCATTTTACAGATAAGGAAACTTAGTAAAAGGCAGTTTCTGACCTGGGCAACATGGCGAGACCCCGTCTCTATAAAAAGTAAAAAATTCGCCAGTTGCGATGGCTGAGACCTATAGTCCCTAGCTCCTCTGGAGGCTGAGGCTAGAGGATCACCTGAGTCTATGAGGTTGAGACTGCAGTAATCTGTGATTGTACCACTGCACTCCAGCCTCGGTGATGGAATAAGACCCTGTCTCCAAAAAGAGGAAGATTCTGACTTAGCAGGTCCAGGTGGGGCCTGACGTTCTGCAAGTCTAACCCATTTCAGGTGGCACCCACTGGGCAGGTCCTCTGAATAGCACAGCCGAGAGAGCTAAGGGGTCTTGCTATAAGGTTGTTACCTAGGAGGTATCCAAGAGTTGTGGGTTGAGAACCACACACCAGAGGCTGTGCTCTCACCACCACGTCTGTCATTGTGTGTCCCTGGCAGAGGTGCAGTGCATGCATGAGACCCAGAAAGAGCTGCGAAAGTTGGTACATGAAATTGGCCTGGAGCTAAAGACCACTGCTGTCTGCTCCCAAGTGCGGCGCACACGCGATGGCGTCTTCACGCTGGACAGTGCTCTCCTGAGGACCCAGTGGGACCTACACAGTATCCAGGATGCTATCCAGACCGCCACCCCCTGGGTAGCTGCGGAGCTGGAGAAGAGCTTGAGCCCGGGGCTGGACACCAAGCAACTCCCCAGTCCGGGATGGTCCTGGGACTCCCAGGTCCCGAGCTCTGGAGAGGGATGCTAGGCAGTGAATGCCCAGGCAGCTGCTGGGGCAGTGAGTGGATAAATAGAATAACTGCGTATGAGCCGGACCTGATGGCTGTGCAGAAAGTGAGAGTAGGGGCCACCTTTTCTACGTGCGACACAAAACTCAACTGTAACAGAAAAGATCAATGGACTTGACCCAACTGAGAAGGAAAAACTTCTGTATGGAGGAAAAGACAATAAACAAATGACAGACTGATGAAAGGTATCAGCAGGCCAGGTGTGGTGGCATGCACTTGTAATCCCAGCTACTCCCAGGGCTGCGGCAGGAGAATCGCTTGAGCCCAGTAGTTTGAGGTTGTAATGCTCTAGACTGCGCCTGTGAATAGCCACTGCGCTCTAGTCTGGGCAACATATGAGACCCCCCCCATCTCACAAAAAAATTCCCAATAAACCATGTGCCCACAAAAATGAAAAATTAGGCCAGGCTTGGTGGCTCATGCCAGTAATCCCAGCACTTTGGGAGGCTGAGGTGGGTGTATCACCTGAGGTTGGGAATTTAAGACTAGCTTGACCAAAATGGAGAAACCCTGTCTTTTCTAAAAATACAAAATTAGCTGGTAGTGGTGGCGCATCCCTGTAATCCCAGCTACTTGGGAGGCTGAGGCAGGAGAATCGCTTGAATCCAGGAGGCAGAGGTTTCGGTCAGTTTAGATTGTACTCCAGCCTGGGCAATAAGAGCAAAACTCGGTCTTAAAAAAAAAAAAAAAAAAAAAAAAAAAATCACCTGGAGAGATCTTTGAAAATCCAAATTCTAGGCCCAGCTCTTGGATTCTGACTCAGTAGATCTGGAGTGGAATCCAGAAACCTGCATTTTCTCAAGTTTCCTGAGTGAATCTGATGCCAGCACTTTAAGAAACAGGGCCCCAGAGAGGCCAGCCAGGCACCGGAGAAGCCATTTAAGAAGAGGGTGGCAAGGCTGCGGGCAGTGGTTCATGCCTGTAATCCCAGCACTTTGGGAGGCCTAGGTGGGTGGATTACTTGAGGTCAGGAATTTGAGCCCAGGCTGGCCAACATGGTGAAACCTTGTCTCTACTAAAAATACAAAAATTAGCTGGGTGTGGTGGTACACGCCTGTAGTCCCAGCTACTCAGCAGTCTGAGGCAGAAGAATCACCTGAACCCAGGAGGTGGAGGAACCTAGACCACGCTATTGCACTCCAGCCTGGCAACAGAGCGAGACTATTTCTCAAAAAAAAAGAAGATGGCCACCCACCAAGGGTAGTTGGGCATGGTGTATTAGTTTGCCAGGGGTGTGCTAGGAAGGTACCACAAAGTTAGAAATGGATTGTCTTGGCCGGACACAGTGGCTCACACCTATAATCCCACCACATTGGGAAACCAAGGCGGGTGGATCACTTGAGGTCAGGAGTTCTAGACCAGCCTGACCAACATGGTGAAACCCCGTCTCTACTAAAAATACAGAAATTAGCTGGACATTGTGGCCTGTTGTCCCGACTACTTGGGAAGCTGAGGCAGGAGAATTGCTTGAACCCAGGAGGTGGAAGTTGCAGTGAACTGAGATAGCACCACTGCACTCCAGCCTAGGCAACAGAGCCAGACTCTTGTCTCTCAAATAAAAAAAAGAAAAAGAAATGGATTGTCTTAGAACCTTGGAGGCTGGAGGTCCGAGATGAAGGTGTTGGCCTTCTTGGGCTGTGAGTGCAAGTTGGTTCTATGCTCCTCTAGCTTCTGGTGGTTGCTGGTAATCTATTGCGCCCCTTGGCTTGTGGGAGCATCAACCTGGTCTCCACCTGTGTGTTCCTGTGTATCTCCAAATTTCCCCTTTTTATAAGGGTACCAGTCAAATTAGGAGCCAACCCAACTCATCTTAACTAATTATATCCTCAATGACCCAATTTCTAAAGATGGTCACATCCTTAAGTCTTCCCAGTTAAGACTTCAACGTAGGAATTTTGGGGAGATACAATTCAGTGGATAACAGATGGTTGGACGTTCACCTGGGCTGGCCCAGTGCTCCTTAGAGTACTGTTGTCCTGACCAGAAGCCTCCCCAGAGGTCAGGGGAGGCTTACTCCCCTGATTGCCTTACTCCCCTCCATTGCCACCACTGCCCCTAAGACAGCAGCCCCTCCACCCCTGCTGCAGGCTGACAAACAGGTGGGATGCTGCAGTTAGTAAATGCCCCCTAAGAACTCTGGGAGGGTGGGGTGGGCATGGTGGCTTATGCCAGAAATCCCAACACTTTGGCAGGCTGAAGGGGCAGGATCATTTGAAGACAGGCGTTGGAGACCACTCGGCCAACATCGGGAGACCCCATCTTTTTTTTTTTCTGAGATGGAGTTTCTTTTTTTTTTTCTTTTCTGAGACAGAGTCTTACTCTGTTGCCCAGGCTGGAGTACAGTGGTGCAACCTCGGCTCACTGCAACCTCCGCTTCCCGGGTTCAGGCGATTCTTCTACCTCAGCCTCCTGAGTAGCTGGGACTACAGGCACACGCCACCACGCCCGGCTAACTTTTGTATTATTAGCAGAGACGGGGGTTTCACCATCTTGGCCAGGCTGGTCTTGAACTCCTGACCTTGTGATCCACCTGCCTTGGCCTCCCAAAGTGCTGGGATTACAGGCCTCACTGCGCTGGGCCCAGAGTTTCACTCTTGTCGCCAAGGCTGGAGTCCAGTGGCTCACCACAACCTCTGCCTCCTGGATTCAAGCGATTCTCCTGCCTTAGCCACCCGAGTAGCTGGGATTGCCGGCACATGCCACCATGCCCATCTAATTTTGTGTTTTTAGTAAATATGGGGCTTCTCCATGTTGGTCAGGGTGGTCTCAAACTCTGACCTCAGGTGATGCACATGCCTCAGCCTCCCAAAATGCTGGGAGTGAGCCACCGTGCCCGGCCAGGAGACAGTATCTTTATTAAAATTTAAAAACTAGGCCGGGCACGGTGGCTCACGCCTGTAATCCCAGCACTTTGGGGAGGCCGAGGCAGACAGATCACTTGAAGTCAGGAGTTTGAGACCAGCCTGGCCAACATGGTGAAACCCTGTCTCTACTAAATACAAAAAATTAGCCAGGCATGGTGGCACATGCCTGTAATCCCAGCTACTTGGGAGGCTGAGATAGAATCATTTGAACTCAGGAGGCGGAGATTGCGGTGAGCCAAGAATGTGCCTTTGCACTCCAGCCTGGGCAACAAGAGCGAAACTCCAGAGTGAAACTCCATCTCAAAAAAAAAAACTTAAAAACTAGCCAGGCATGGTGGTGCATGTCTGTGGTCCCAGCTACTTGGGGGACTGAGGTGCGAGGAGTTTGGGACTTGGGCCAGGAGTTTGAGGTTATAGTGAGCTATGATTGCGCCACTATACTCCAGCTTGGAAGGCAGAGCCAGACCCTGTGTCAAACAAACAAACAAAAAGAACTGGTTGGAGTGCTAGGGGCCAGGATCGGTCTGAGCACTCCATGGAGCTAGGCTAGGAGGAGGGGGCGGCCCAGGGGCCCCAGTGGGTCTTGGGTGGTGACATGGGGCCAGGGAATCTACCTAGGCCTCTCCAGCCTGGGTGACAGAGTGAGACTGTCTCAAAAAGAAAAAAAGAGAAAGAAAAAAAGAACAAAATCAAGCAATATTTAGATAATCAGACTCCAGCGAAATGGTGGGGAAAGCTGAGTGGGAGTGGAGGGTATCAGCAAAACTCAGTTCACTGGAAAAATTAGGTAACTTGAACCCAGGGCACGTGGGCTGTCACACCACCCCATTTCGAGCCCAAGGCACAGAGATGATAAAAGTGGACTCCCTGGCCAGGTGCAGCGGCTAATGCCTGTAATCCCAGCACTTTGGGAGGCCGAGGCGGGCGGATCACGAGGTCAAGAGATCAAGACCATCCTGGCCAACATGGTGAGATCCCATCTCTACTAAAAAATACAAAAATTAGCTGAGCATGGTGGTACATGCCTGTAGTCCCAGCTACTTAGGAGGCTGAGGCAGCAGAATTGCTTGAACCCAGGAGGTGGAGTTGCGGTGAGCCAAGATTGTGCCACTGTACTCCAGCCTGGCACCTGGCAACAGAGTGAGAATCTGTCTCAAAAAAAA